GCAGAAGGCCAGAGGAGAACTCTCCGCCTCTGTCAGAGTGCAGACGCAGAACAGGAAAGTCTGAGCCGAAGCTCCGCCTGAGCTGGAGACGAGCTGCGCGGATCCAGTCGATCAACACCTCAGTGACATCACCCTTGCTGCGCAAGGGGAAGACTGTGGTGTAACGCGAGTAGTCGTCAACCACCAGCAGGAAGTAGCGCTCGTGACCCTGTCCACGGACGCGGGCCGGGCCCCACACGTCCATGTGAAGCGTCTGCAACGGGGCCTCTGTCGGAGGAAACTGAGAGGAGTGAGGGGCAGCCCGCTGGCGCCCCTCGACACAGGGGACGCAGGTAGGACCAGGCCCCGGAGGAAGGGGAGGGAGGTACCGGGGAAGACCAGAGACAAGGACACGGGAGGCCATGCTTTGGAGACGAAGCAGGGAGGGGTGACCAAGGCGGTGGTGCCAGAGGAGAGTCCTCGTGAGACAGGAGACGACACGAACAGGGGGGCAGACTCAGGACCAGACCTGGACGCTGCAGCAAACACTTGACCCGACGCTGCTACCTGACCAGAAGCAGAGACTGGAGGAGACGCAGTGGTCAATGTGTACAGGCTCGACCCCGGCCGACGTGTAAACGTGGCCAGGTGTCGGCCTGTCCTAGCGTCCGTGCAGTGGGTCACCCGCTGACTCGCAGGAGTGAACTGGTGAGCCCCCGCATCCTGTAGGTCAGCACCACTCACCAGGTTCATAGAGAACGAGGGGAGGTAAAGACCAGACTGGGTGACAGAGGGGGCCGCCGGACACGGGAGGACAGTGGAGAAGTGAGCAAGGACAGGACCCCCAGAGGGGTCTGCCAGGGAGACTGCAACTGGCCGACCAAGCGGTGTGAGTGTGGTGCGGTCTCGAAGAAGGAGCGAGAATCCCCTGAGTCAAGTGTGAAGGTGTGGGAGGCCGAAGCCGACGCTGTACCTGAGAGCGCAGACTCACCAGTACCAGAGGAAGCAGACGCACTAGCACCTAGAGCAGCAGCCTCGCTAGCACCAAGAGCAGCACCCTCACCAGCACCTAGAGCAGCAGTCGCAATGCCCGGGTCGGGCAGGAAACTCCGGTAACAGTCACCCTCCTCACTAGTAGACACAGTATACATAGCAGCAAGGAATAGCATCAAAGTCAAGGTCAAAGATAGCTACCCCTGCCCTAGACAGCTCGCCCCAGCGAGGGATCTCAGTGGCCTCAAGGAACTGGTGACGCCAAGCGTCCATCAGGCGGCCAAAGCAGCGCTGGGTGGGGTGCGCACCCCCACACTGCTCACCCGCACGGTCGCCGGTGCGCAGGACGTAGGTGCACGGACCAGTACCCCCACCCCCGCTGGCGCGCTGCGTACCACTCACGGAGCTGCTGAGGGGACAGGGTCTCCCGACTGCGCTGCTGCTGCTGGCGCTGACCACCACTGGAGCCACTCCTCTGCGAAGATCCACGACCTCCTCCTCCTCCTCCTCCGCCACCCGCCTCCTCCACCTCCGCCACCTCCACTCCCACTGCCACCGCCGCCGCCGCCTCCGCCTCCACTGCCGCCGCCGACACCTCCACCCCCGCCACCACTCCCACCACCACCCCCACCCCCTCCACTGCCTCCACTGCCGCCTCCACCGCCCCCGCTAGCTCCTTCAGCGCCCCTGCCCCCCCTTGCCCTTGCCAGAGCGACGCTTCCCACTAGGGTAGACGCCGCACCGACCAACTCCAGACCAAGGAGGTCTGGCCGCAGCAGCAGAGGCAACAGAGGGCAAAAGAGGGGAGGTGGAACACCCCTCAAAGATGGGGGTGCGCGGGTCACCACGAGAGGCCCCTACAGCGACTATGCTCTTCTCCGCTGCTAGGAGGGCCTTCTCGAGGAGGTCAACGGTGAGAGTGGTGGGACAGACTGAGAGAAAGTGGTCCCTGACTACGCGAAGGGAGTTAGGGAGGCGGTGACTATGTAGTAGAGAGTGATGTACATGGGGGGGGGGGGGGTTCTTGGAGCAGAATTCAGCAGGAAGCGTAGCGCGGTAGCGAGTGTCACTAGTGCGGAGGTGCGTAATGAGGTCAACGACTGTGGGAAAGGCAGCAAGGTCAGGGAAGAGGTACGGTAGCATGAGGCGGCTCAGTGCAGCTGTGGCAGGGGAGGAGTAGCGTGCAACTACAGTGTCGTACAAGGTCTGAGCACTCTTGTACTGGCTAAAGTGCGCACGCCCAGAGGTAGGTAGGTGGCAACGCACAGCAAGACGTGCAGCAGCATCGCGCGTGGCCCACTGTGAGCGGACAGTGGCGTCAGCATCAGCAGCTGGGGCAGGAGAGGCACCAGAGGTGAGGTCAAAGAGAGAGAGTCGGTCTGCCCTATCGCACTGTAAGAAAAGGCTGCAGGTCATCTATCCAGACGTCAAAGTCAATGGCCCTACCCTCAGCGTCAAAAGCGAGGACACTAGGGGTAGCCATGACAGAAGTAGACTAGCAGCGCAAACAGTAGGGTAAGGGCAGTGCGGAGAAAGAGGCGCTGCTCTTACCGGAGAGGGCGGCTCGAGCGACTCGGCGGTGCGGGCGGCTCGGCTGCTGGGCGGCTCGGCTGCTGGGCGGCTCGGCTGCTGGGCGGCTCGGTTGCTGGGCGGCTCGGCTGCTGGGCGGCTCGGCTGCTGGGCGGCTCGGGTGCTGGGCTGCTCGGCTGCTGGGCGGCTCGGCTGCTGGGCGGCTCGGCTGCTTGGCGGCTGGGTGGCTCTGCAGCTCGGGTGCTGGACGGCTGGGCTGCTCGGCGGTTCGGCTGCAGGGCGGTGCGGCGGTCGGCTGCTCGGCTGGGTATGGCGGCTGGGGCAGCTCGGGTGGCGGGCGGCGCTGCAGCAGGCGACGTGGCCGCAGGTAAGGGCGGCGGGGCCGCAGGTAAGGTGGCGGGGCCGCAGCGAAGGGCGGCGGGGCCGCAGGTAAGATGGCGGGGCCGTGGTAAGGTGGCGGGGCCGCAGCAGCAGGCAACGGGGCCGCAGGTAAGGGCGGCGGGGCCGCAGGTAAGGACGGCGGAGCCGCAGGTAAGGTGTCGGGGCCGCAGCAGCAGGCGACGGGGCCGCAGGTAAGGGCGGCGGGGCCGCAGCGAAGGGCGGCGAGGCCGCAGGTAAGGTGGCGGGGCCGCAGCGAAGGGCGGCGGGGCCGCAGGTAAGGGCGGCGGGGCCGCACGTAAGGTGGCGGGGGCCGCAGCGAAGGGCGGCGGGGCCGCAGGTAAGGGCGGCGGGGCCGCAGGTAAGGGCGGCGAGGCCGCAGGTAAGGTGGCGGGGCCGCAGCGAAGGGCGGCGGGGCCGCAGGTAAGGGCGGCGGGGCCGCAGGTAAGGTGGCGGGGCCGAGGGTGAGGGCGGCGCGAGGGCGGCGACGGGCCGCTAAGGGTGGCGACGGGCCGCGTAGGGCGGCGTCAGGCCGCGAAGGGCGGCGACGGGCCGAGAAAGGGCGGCGCGAGGGAGGCCGCTAGGGGCGACTCGACGGGGCCGAAGGAGGCCTAGGATGGGCGCGACGGTAGAGAGGGCACACGAGGCGCGACTCGGGCCTAAGCGAAGTGCGCTCCGGGCAGGAAATTAAATTTCGACTTGGTGGGCCCTAGGAACAGTTCCCACGAGGGAACCTGCTCGATACCATGAGAAGAAACGAGAATGAATGAACTATGAATGAATTGGGTACAAGTACTAACCCTAATTGGGTTGTACCCCTTGTGGGCTACCCCACTACAGCCTACACAATATGCATAAGCTAAAATGTTCTGACACTATGGGGATTCGCGCGCATCCTAGGCGTTAGTCGGCAAAAACGGCCAAATTCGTCGGCGCCGAACTTTCTTGTGCGATCCAAGCCGGAAAGGCTCCGACATGTGTATTTGAACATGAGCCACCCGAATATGCAATGATATTGGGGTTCTCTAATGCTTTTCCCTACACCAATGGGGATTCGTGCGCATCCAAACATGAGCCACTCGAATCTGCAATGATATTGGGGCTCTTAAATGCTTTTCCCTACAACTATGGGGATTCGTGCGCATCCTAAGCATTTGTCGGCAAAAACGGCCGAATTCATGGATGCCAAACTTTTCTTTGCGCACGAACCAAGCCGGAAAGGCTTCGATAAATCTATTTGAACATGAGCCACTCGAATCTGCAATGATATTGAGGTTCTTGAATGCTAGAAGGCGGAAGACCAAGAACCTGCTGAAGGAGCGGAACGAAGTACGGGCGAGGCCGCGCGGCGACTCCAGACACAACAGGGACAGCACCAGTACCCCCAGCGGCAGCACTAGTACCAGCAGCACCTCCAGCTCGAGTACCTCCAGCAGCACCAGTAGTACCCCAAGTAGGACTGCCTCCAGGACCGACAGAAGTAGCCTCCGCGCCAACCCCCGCAGCAGCTCCAACTCCAGCAAGTACCCGCAGGCCCAGCAGCTCCAGTACTCCCAGTACAAGCACCTCCGGGACCCGCGACACCAGCACCCTCAGCAGCAGCAGAAACTCCAGTACCCGCAGCACCTCCAGCTCCAGCAGCTCGCCTCCAACGCCGGGCAAACCACTCACGCAGCTCCTGTGGAGAGAGTGGCTCTCGGCGAGACGAAGTACCCGGAAAAACCGCCAGGCACAGCACCAGCAGGCTCAGCTCCCTCAAGCTCCGCACCTCCAAGCGTAGCACCCTCCAGGCTCAGCACCCCGAGACTCAGTACCCCCAGGCTCAGCACCCCCACTCGTAGTACCCTCAGGCTCAGCACCCCCAGGCGTAGCACCCCGAGACTCAGCACCCCCAGGCTCAGCACCCCAAGTAGTAGCACCCCCAGGCTCAGCACCCCCAGTAGTAGCACCCTCAGACTCAGCACCCCTAGGCGTAGCACCCACACGCTCAACACCCCCAGAGTCAGCACCCCCATGCTCAGCACCCTCAGCAGCACCAGAGTCACCAGTAACCTCGACAGGCTCAACTGCGTCTACCTGGGACACACATGAAGGGGAAGGACCCTGAGGGGGGAGGGGGTCTACCGGGGGGGGACCTGGCACAAGTTGCGGACAAACGCCCGAGATCCCCAGACACGGAACGCAGACGCATCGCCAACCTTCCCCGTCCACAGCAAAGCTGGGGAGGTCTCCGGCATGGAGACCCTGGGCTGAAGGTTGATCTGATGCGCCGCGTACCGGACCGAAAACAGCCACAGAAAATGGGGGGCAGCCGCATGCATCATGGACGTACGAGCGACGTCCATGACCATGCCAATGCGGCGCTCAGCAATCCCATTTTGCTGTGGAGAGTCCGGAAGCGTGAAGGTCTGGCGGATGCCTCGTGCACGATAGTAGGCTCGCAGAAGGCCAGAGGAGAACTCTCCGCCTCTGTCAGAGTGCAGACGCAGAACAGGAAAGTCCGAGCCGAAGCTCCGCCTGAGCTGGAGACGAGCTGCGCGGATCCAGTCGATCAACACCTCAGTGACATCACCCTTGCTGCGCAAGGGGAAGACTGTGGTGTAACGCAAGTAGTCGTCAACCACCAGCAGGAAGTAGCGCTCGTGACCCTGTCCACGGACGCGGGCTGGGCCCCACACGTCCATGTGAAGCGTCTGCAGCGGGGCCTCTATCGGAGGAAACTGGGAGGAGTGAGGGGCAGCCCGCTGCCGCCCCTTGACACAGGGGACGCAGGTAGGGCCAGGCCCCGGAGGAAGGGGAGGGAGGGACCAGGGAAGACCAGAGACAAGGACACGGGAGGCCATGCTTCGGAGACGAAGCAGGGAGGGGTGACCAAGGCGGTGGTGCCAGAGGAGAGTCTCGTGAGACAGGAGGCGACACGAACAGGGGGCAGACTCAGGACCAGACCTGGACGCTGCAGCTAACACCTGACCCGACGCAGCTACCTGACCAGACGCAGTGACTGGAGGAGACGCACTGGTCAGTGTGTACAGGCTCGACCCCGGCCGACGTGTAAACGTGGCCAGGTGTCGGCCTGTCCGAGCGTCCGTGTAGTGGGTCACCCGCTGGCTCGCAGGAGTGAACTGGTGAACCCCCGCATCCTGTAGGTCAGCACCACTCACCAAGTTCGTAGAGAACGAGGGGAGGTAAAGACCAGACAGGGTGCCAGAGGGGGCCGCCGAACACGGGAGGACAGTGGAGAAGTGAGCAAGGACAGGACTCCCAGAGGGGTCTGCCAGGGAGACTGCAACTGGCCGACTAAGCGGCGTGAGTGTGGTGCGGTCTCGAAAGAAGGAGCGAGAAGCCCCCGAGTCAAGTGTGAAGGTGTGGGAGGCCGAAGCCGACGCAGTACCTGAGAGCGCAGACTCACCAGTACCGGAGGAAGCAGACGCACTAGCACCTAGAGCAGCAGCCTCGCTAGCACCAAGAGCAGCAGCCTCACCAGTACCTAGAGCAGCAGTCGCAATGCCCGGGTCGGGCGGGAAACACCGGTAACAGTCACCCTCCTCACTAATAGACACAGTATACATAGCAGCAAGAATAGCATCAAATTCAAGGTCAAAGTTAGCTACCCCTGCCCTAGACAGCTCGCCCCAGCGAGGGATCTCAGTGGCCTCAGGGAACTGGTGACGCCAAGCGTCCGTCAGGCGGCCAAAGCAGCGCTGGGTGGGGTGCGCACCCCCACACTGCTCACCCGCACGGTCGCCGGTGCGCAGGACGTAGGTGCACGGACCAGTACCCCCACCCCGCTGGCGTGCAGCGTACCACTCACGGAGCTGCTGAGGGGACAGGGTCTCCCGACTGCGCTGCTGCTGCTGGCGTTGACCACCACTGGAGCCACTCCTCTGCGAAGATCCACGACCTCCTCCTCCTCCTCCTCCGCCACCGCCTCCTCCACCTCCGCCACCTCCACCACCTCCGCTCCCACCGCCACCGCCGCCTCCACCTCCACTGCCGCCGCCGACACCTCCACCCCCGCCACCACTCCCACCACCACCCCCACCCCCTCCACTGCCTCCACCGCCGCCTCCACCGCCCCCGCTAGCTCCTCCAGCGCCCCTGCCCCCCTTGCCTTTGCCAGAGCGACGCTTCCCACTAGGGGTAGACGCCGCACCGACCGACTCCAGACCAACGAGGTCGGCCGCAGCAGCAGAGGCAATAGAGGGCAAAAGAGGGGAGGGGGAACACCCCTCAAAGATGGGGGTGCGAGGGTCACCCCGAGAGGCTCCTACAGCGACTATGCTCTTTTCTGCTGCTAGGAGGGCCTTCTCGAGGAGGTCAACGGTGAGAGTGGTGGGGCAAACTGAGAGGAAGTGGTCCCTGACTACGCGAAGGGAGTCAGGGAGACGGGTGACTATGTAGTAGAGGGTGATGTACATGGGGGGGGGGGGGGGGGGTTCTTAGCGCAGAACTCAGCAGGAAGCGCAGCGCGGTAGCGAGTGTCACTAGTGCGGAGGTGCGTAATGAGGTCAGCCACTGTGGGAAAGGCAGCTAGGTCAGGGAAGAGGTACGGTAGCATGAGGCGGCTCAGTGCAGCAGTGGCAGGGGAGGAGTAGCGTGCAACTACAGCGTCGTACAAGGTCTGAGCACCCTTGTACTGGCTAAAGTGCGCACGCTCAGAAGTAGACAGGTGGCGACGCACAGCAAGACGTGCAGCAGTATCGCGCGTGGCCCACTGTGAGCGGACAGTGGCGTCAGCATCAGCAGCAGGGGCAGGAGAGGCACCAGAGGTGAGGTCAAAGAGAGAGAGTCGGTCTGCCCTATCGCACTGTAAGAAAAGCTGCAGGTCATCTATCCAGACGTCAAAGTCAATGGCCCTACCCTCAGCGTCAAAAGCGAGGACACTAGGGGTAGCCATGACAGAAGTAGACTAGCAGCGCAAACAGTAGGGTAAGGGCAGTGCGGAGAAAGAGGCGCTGCTCTTACCGGACAGGGCGGCTCAAGCGACTCGGCGGTGCGGGCGGCTCGGCTGCTGGGCGGCTCGGTGCTGGGCGGCTCGGCTGCAGGGCGGCTCGGCTGCTGAGCGGCTCAGCTGCTGGGCGGCTCGGCTGCTGGGCGGCTCGGCTGCTGGGCGGCTCGGCTGCTGGGCGGCTCGGCTGCTCGGCGGCTGGGGCAGCTCGGGTGGCGGGCGGCGCTGCAGCAGGCGACGGTGCCGCAGGTAAGGGCGGCAGGGCCGCAGGTAAGGTGGCGGGGCCGCAGGTAAGAGCGGCGGGGCCGCAGGTAAGGGCGGCGGGGCCGCAGGTAAGGTGGCGGGGCTGCAGCAACAGGCGACGGATCCGCATGTAAGGGCAGCGGGGCCACAGGTAAGGGCGGCGGGGGCCGCAGGTAGGGCGGCGGGGCCGCAGGTAGGGCGGCGGGGCCGCTGGTAGGGCGGCGGGGCCGCTGGTAGGGCGACGGGGCCGGTACGCAGGTAGGGCGATGGGGCCGGGGCGCAGGTAGGGCGACGGGGCCGGGGCCGGGGCGCAGGTAGGGCGACGGGGCCGGGGTCGCAGGTAGGGCGACGGGGTCGGGGCCGGGACGCATGGTAGGGCGACGGGGCTAGGGCCGGGGCCGCAGGTATGGCGACGGGGCCAATCGCAGGTGGGGCGACGGGGCCGGGGTCGCAGGTAGGGCGACAGGGCCGGGGCGCAGGTAGGGCGACGGGGCCGGGGCCGTAGGTAGGGCGACGGGGTCGCTAGGGCGACGAATCAGGGGCCGCTAAGGCGGCGCGACGTGGCCGCTAGGGCGGCTCGACGAAGTCAGAGAGGGGAGCGCGACTCGGGCTGAGCGCGCTCCGGGCAGGAAAAAAAACTTTCGACTTGGTGGGCCCTAAGCACAGTTCCCACGCGGGAACCTGCTCGATACCATGAGAAAACTGAAACAAGAATGATTGAACTATGAATGAATTGAGTACAAGTACTAGCCCTAATTGGGTTGTACCCCTTATGGGCTACCCCACTATAGCCTACACAATATGCATAAGCTACAATGTTCTGACAATATTGAGGTTTTTGAATTCTTTTTCCTGCACATATGGGGATTTGTGCGCATCATAAGCATTTGTCGGCAAAAACAGTCGAATTCATGGGCGCCGAAGTTTTCTTTGCGCACGATCCAAGCCGGAAAGGCTTCGATAAATCTATTTGAACATGAGCCACTCGAATCTGCAATTATATTGGGGTTCTTGAATGCTTTTCCCTACATCTATGGGGATTCGTGCGCATCCTAAGCATTTGTCGGCAAAAACAGCAGAATTCATGGGCGCCAATCTTTTCTTTGTGCACAAACCAAGCCGGAAAGGCTTTGATATGTGTATTTGAACATGAGCCACTCGAATATGCAATGATATTGAGGTTCTTGAATGCTTTCCCCTACACCTACGGGGATTCGGGCGCATCCTAAGCATTTGTTGGCAAAAACAACCGAATTCATGGGCGCCGAACTTTTCTTTGCGCACGAACCAAGCCGGAAAGGCTCCGATACAGTCAGGCAACACAGAGACAAATAGTAAAATATGTAAATTTTTGAATGTAGGTAACAGTTTCTAAAATTGTGTATTGTGAATAGTGGAGATATTTGTACCAAAGCAAAATGCTTCGGCGAACTATTACTTCCCCCTCTTTTCGGTATAAAAGAGGGGGCGAAGGCCATTTGGCCTTCACCCACGTTTTTCATTTCAAATTTTCAGTTTTCAAGTTCTCAATTTTTTTCGTCCAAGCTGGCGAGGACTAAGAGTCTTCCTCGCTTCACTTCTCCCTCGACGCTCCTCTCCGACATCCTCGACCGCAACCTTGCGACTATGGCGCCAACGAACAACAATAGCCCCGGGGCTAAGGACGCAACTCCTCGGCCGTCGTCGGGGGTTTGAAAAATCAACCCGGGAAACCGGCGCGGAGAAGCGAAAACGCCCCACCGAGGAAAACGCCAAGGGGCCCCACACTGGGGTGGACGTGCTGCTCGGCGAGGGCGGCGGCACACGCTCGCGCGCGCCCTAGCCACGTATCAAAGTACTAAGTCGAGTTGGGCTTAGGAGCCATAGTAGCTTAGGAGAAGGTTTAGTGATCGAGTTCGTGAGAAAGTGTGAACGAGAATGAATGACTATGAAGTGAAGTGAATACAAATAGGAAACCCTAATTGTGTTGTACCCCCTATGGGATACCCCACTATAGCCTACAGAAACAAGTAAGCTATATGTTCTGACACACCCCCATAGGCAAAGTAGGGGAGAACAAGGGGTCACAAGACCAGTCAAGCAAAGCAAAGCAAAGCTCAGGGTGGATCACAAAGTCACCACGCATTCCGAGCACAAGTTCAAAGGCCAGAAGGCCAGTTCACATGCAAGATCATATATAGAGATATACAAGAGTCAAGCAAGCAAGAGCAAGAGTATATATAGGCGAAGGTACAAGCAAGGTCAAGAGGAGAGCAAGTGAGGCAAGACAGGCACAAGACCCAACTGCGTGCAACAACGCTGATGATCACAAGGCGCAAGTGCCTTGGTGAAGACATCAGCAGTGTTGGCCTCAGAGGCCACGTACGCAAGTCGCAACTGTCCACGCTGTTGTAGCTCACGAGCAAGAAAGTAGCGGAGAGCAATGTGCTTCGTTCTGTGCTCCAGTCGCTGCTCTCGACACAAGGCCAGCATGGCCTTGTTGTCTACGTATAGGACTGGAGGAGAACGAGGCTGCTCTCCAAGGTCGGTCAGCAGGTAGGTGAGCCAGCGTAACTCCTGTGCAGCCATAGCCCCAGCGTAGATCTCAGCCTCACAACTGGAGCCGAGAACAGAAGACGAGCGGGTAGCCCGCCACGAGACAGAGCCGGAACCAAGGCTGAAGGTGTAACCCTGTGACGACCGCTGCGTAGCCTGGTCGTCAGCCCAAGAAGCGTCTGCGTGCCCAGTGAGGACCACTGGACTGCGCCCTCCAAGCACTAGCCCCATGCCCGACGTACTGCACAAGTAGCGCAACACCCTCTTCGCTGCAGTCCATGTGCTCTGGTCGGTGTCTCCCAGGAGCAACAAAGCGTGCGAGAATGCTAAGAGGGTATGCGAGGTCAGGTCGTGTGCAGGTCATCAGGTACATGAGGCAGCCAACAAGCTCTGCAAACGGGCCACTCGACTCTACGGACTCATCCGAAGGCAGAGCTGAGAGCGAGTGGCGAGTAGGCAGAGGAGTGGCCTGAGGCGAGGAGTACGTGAAGCCGAAGCGCTGAAGGACCTGCTGCACCATGTGTGACTGAGTCAGGGTAATGGTGCGGCGTGCTCTGTCCCGGGTGATCTGCAAGCCAAGGTAGCTGCGCAGTTCACCCAGGTCAGTGCACGTGTGTCTCTTCTGCAGCTCGGACTTCACGTAGGCGAGTCCAGCAGTGTCAGCTGTGGCAAAGACCAAGTCGTCGACGTACACGAGGATGTAGAACGGCGGCAGGGAGGTGTCGGTGCGCAGAAACAGCGACGGGTCGGCAGTAGAAGGAGCAAACCCAAGTGCCGCGAGCGTAGTCCTCAGTGTGTCGTGCCACTCACGTGGCGCCTGGCGGAGACCGTAGACTGGACGCCGGAGACTCCACTGGGTACCAGGAGGGAAAGACCCAGTGAAGCCAGGTGGGCGACGCAGCCAGATCTCCTCGTGCAGGCTGCCCTGCAAGAAAGCTGTGCTGAAGTCGAGAGAGTGCAGCTCGTAGTCACGGTGAGCAGCAACGTGCAGCAGAACCCGAAGAGTGGTCATCTTCGGGGTGGGGGAGAAGGTCTGAAAGTAGTCAACCCCTTGCCGCTGACTGAAGCCACGAGCCACGTAACGCGCCTTGAAGACAGGGGAGAGAACCCGGCGGCCGCTTCACCCTGAAAATCCACATGCCACTGACGATGTTCGCCCCAGGAGGGGGAACAGCGTCAACGTAGGTGCCTGTGGACTTCCAGGAAGCCATCTCTGCATCCATAGCTGCCTGCCACTGAGAGGAGTAGGGACCCTCTATCGCCTCCGCGTAAGAGCGCGGAGTCGGGATGTCTGGTGCATCCGGGTCTCCCTCAGGGGCTAGCAGTACAGACGCGAGACGAGGTGAAGCGGCGGCCAGACACTGGAACTCCTCCTGCCTGTCCTCAAGGACGTCCTGTGCCAAGGGCACACTCACCCCCAACGGACGGAGGACAGGCGGACTCAGACTCAGTGACAAGACGAGCAGCGTAGTCTAGACGACAGCGCGCAGCAAAGTCGACAAGCTCAGTGACAAGGGCAGACGCTAGCAGACGACTCGAAGGAAGGGTCAGTGACAGCAGTAGCAAGGAGACGCGTGACAGTAGGACTGGCAGCACGAAGAGAGTCCGACTCCGGGTCGGCAAGAGCAGGAAGAGAGGAAGCAGGAGGAGAAGGCAAAGGGGCACGCAGAGGAGCAGTGGACGGACGCAGTGACATCCGGTGCGTGCCAGGGACAGGAGGAGGACGCTGACGCGACCCGCGACCACTAGCGCGCTCAGTACGAACAGGCGACACAGGACGAGACGCAGGCTCACGACGCTCAGTAAGACCTCCAGTCGGACCAGCGTAGGGAGAAGGAGCAGGCAAAGGGGAGGCAGGCTGTAGCTGTGGCTGTGACCGGACAGGCTGCGGACCCTCTAAGGGAGGAGGAGTAGGTGTAAGACCAAGAACCTGCTGCAGGAGCGGAACGAAGTACGGTCGGGGCCGCGCGGCGACGCTAGAAACAGCAGGAACAGCACCAGCAGCCCCGGCAGGAGCACCCACTCCAGCAGCACCTCCAGCAGCACCACCAGAAGCTCCAGAACCTCCAGCAGCAGCACCAGGAGCACTGTCAGTCGGACCGCCAACGGCAGGCTCAGCGCCAACACCCTCAGCAGTACCAGCTCCAGGAGAACTCTCAGACCCAGCAGCTCCAGCACCCACAGTACGAGCACCGGCGGGACGCGCGGCAGCAGTACCCTCTGCAGCCGAAGAACCACCAGTACCCTCTGCAGCCGAAGAACCACCAGTACCAGCAGCACGCCTCCAGCGCCTGGCAAACCACTCACGCAGCTCCTGTGGGGAGAGTGGCTCCCGGCGAGACGAAGCACCCCCAGGCACAGCACCCCCAGGCTCAGCACCCCCAGGCTCAGCACCCCTAGGCACAGTACCCCCAGGCACAGCACCCCCAGGCTCGGCACCTCCAGGCTCAGCACCCCCAGGCACAGCACCCCCAGGCGCAGCACCCCCAGGCTCAGCACCCCTAGGCACAGCACCCCCAGGCACAGCACCCCCAGGCTCGGCACCTCCAGGCTCAGCACCCCCAGGCACAGCACCCCCAGGCTCAGCACCCCCAGGCTCAGCACCCCCAGACTCCGCACCCCCAGGCTCAGCTCCCGCAGCAGCACCAGAGTCACCAGTGACCTCGACAGGCTCGACCGCGTCTACCTGGGACACACCTGAAGGGGCAGGACCCTGAGGGGGGAGGGGGACTACCGGGGGGGGACCTGGTACCAAGAAGAGCGGGGGTGGGGGGAGGGACGGAGTGCGGTAGGGGAAGAGGCGGTAGTAGGGTACCGACTCGTTGAACGTGACGTC